CAATGATTACTCTTTTACATACAAAAATCAGAGTAATTCGTGAGTGATTTCATGAAAGAACATTTCCAAAGGGAGAGAAATACTGCTTTAGAAACCCAAAGGAGGTATAGAGAACTTTATATTTTGATCAGAATAGTTTCAAACTAGTAGAGGAAAAAAAAAATCAGGCTCCTTTATATGACTGAATACATTTCAGGTAAATTGAAGTGAAACTGAGTCTAATATATGTGGTCCAAGAAAAATATCTAGTTATTGCAAAAGTAAATCCATCAAGAATATCTAAAGTCAGGAAGGAAAAGGAACTTAATATTTAACTATCTGTGCAGAGATAGGAGTTACTTGCAGTGCCTTGGCAATGAAACAATATTTTGAATATATTGAACTAATTCTCAGTGTTGGAGACCAAGGTCACACCCTCTAGGTTTTAATTCTCTTATGTGCAAAACTAATCAGGGGATTCAGGGACAGATTGGGGGAGAAAACCTCTTATGCACATTCTACCTCTAAAATTGGAATCATTTAGAAGATACAGAATTAGTGGAATTCTTAAGAATATTTATGACACTTGTTTTATTGTGAGAGGTGCTACGAACTTTTATGTGAAGGCTCATAGAAATGTGAGCTACATGAAGAGAAATGGTTTCTACTTAGAGAGTCTCAGGTGTTTACCCAAAGAACATCTTGGGAATGTCATTGGATTTTAACATCAATATAATTTGTTTTATCTTATTTTTCTAATGTTAGGTATATCAATTAGGGTCCTCTAGGAGAACAGAATTAGTAGAAAATAAATGTATAATTATGCAAGGGGATTTTTTAGGTAGGCTTAGAGGATCAGAGGTAGGAGAGTCCACAAGGGCCATCTGTGCTGGAGAGCCGGGGAATCCAATAGCTGCTCAGCCCAAGAAGATGGAAGCCACAAAATAAGAGGGATCAAGGATGCAGCACCAGTCCAAGGTTGAAGGCCTGGAACTTCACTGTGGAGTCACCAGTGGGAGTCTGCATTGGAAAGCTGAGGAAACTGGAGACAAATGTACAAAGGCAATGGCAACAACTGGAGCTCTTCAGAAATGGGAGCCCTTCATTCTTCTTTTCCTTTTTATTCTATCCAAGCCCCTCCATTTGCTGGCCTATATCTTATCATCCACAGATACACCCAGAACTGTGCTTCACTAAACTGCTAGGCATTCCTTAATTCTAGATGCTATTCAAGTTGATATATCATGTAATAGTCACACTATGTGTTTATAGGTTTCTCAGGATTGAAAGAGAAACATCTTCTGCAGAGATTAGAACCACATTATCACCTGGATTATTGTGATTTGATATTGGGTTTCCCAGATCTGTGATTGTGGAACGTAGCCTGGCCTTTGCTCCCTCCCCTCCCTAGCAGGTCTCTTACTCTTCTGTCATGTGATTCCTCTCTTGTCTGTTTACAGCAGATTTATTCTTCGCTTCTAGCCCTTGTCCACCCTCCAGCTGTATGTATGTCTGGCCTCTCATAATTCTGTTGATCCATTTGTAAGAATTTCAGTCCATGTTGATCTTTTTTCCTGTCTCACATGATTTAGTACTGAATTTCATATTACATTATTGGTTTTATTTTTTCACTTATATTTCCCCCGTTTTGCTATAAGTTTCTTAAATGTAGAGTCATTCTTTAACATATTATACATGTATGAGTTTATTACAGAATATTTGTCTATTTTTATGTTCTTTTAGAGTGTCATTCTTAGAATTCTGAAATCCAAAATGGCATTCTGAAATCAGTTTTATAAAGCTATCTCTCAGTCCTTGGTATCATGGTCCCTTTAAATTATAGCACATTGTAATGCAGTTTTCTCTTTATCATTTTGAGATTTAAAAAATTACTAATTTTTGTCAAACACGACTCTTAGGTCAATGTACAGCAGCTCCTTTTGTATAATGTTATAATCTTTAAGACAGGAAAATAAAGGACAAAGTAGGAGGGGAAGATGTTGCAGCAAACATGGTCAAATATTCCAATGCCCAGGGGACCGCATTTCATTCTTACACTATAAGAAGACACTATTAGTTGTTTTCTAATGACCAAACTAGTAGCAGAATGTGGATTAACTTAAAAGTGTGGAGATTCTAATAATCCTATTTTTATTTAAAAAATAGTTTATATATTTTCTATTCCATTATTGCTTATGTACTACTAGTCAGGGTCACCAGTAACCTTAAAATCCCAAGGGCTTAACAATATAGTTCCTCTTCATAAAGGGATTCAAGGACCTCATGATGATCTTACACCATGTTCTAGCAAAGTGTTTTCGTACTTTACTCCCATTGCAGGATGGTATGATCAATACTTTTATTGAATAAAGCAGTGAACAGCATGAGTACTCTGATTTATACATGCAATCAGCTATTCTTCCTGTTTCTGCGCTCTGGGGAGAGATCTTTTGTTTTGGATATTCATTAATTGTTAAGTAATACAGTAATTGCAACAATAGTGCTAAGCCTAGAAAAATTAGCAGGGACGTCTGGAACCCAGCACTTGAGTTTATAATCCTAAAAGGGAATTTAAGGAGAAATTTAGACTTGAGAAATTTAAGACTTGACAATAACTGGCCTTCTCTTCCTTTCAACCCTAGAACAGTGCCTGACAAAGCGGCAAAAGGATAAATAGTTTTTAAAGGGATAAACTCAAACTTTCTTTACACAGTAAAGCTAATTTTAAAAATTATTTTAACTTAAAAAAAACCCCAACCCTTTCTCTCCCAGTCTACATTTACATAAATGCTTTGGAATGAAGTTTTGGTCTTGATCCATTATAATTAACATTAAAAATGGGAGTTAGAGATTGTTTTCCAAACTTGAGAATTTGCCTCCTTTTTTTCTGAACTGACATATATAATACTTTCATTATTTAAGTAGAGATTTAGTGAAGCCATCAAATATATAAACTGCAAAGATTTAAAAGCAAGAAAAAGATTAAAATAACTAAAGATGGCTACTCAATTTAAAAAAAAATACCATTCAGTGGCAGTTTTCAAATATTGCCTGAATCACTCTGCGTAGTCTTCCCACTGATTGAAGAAGTATCACGGGCTTAGTGATAGTGCAGTTTAGGGCCCATAAATCTAAGCTGTAAATCATGAATGAAGGAGAAAAGTATTTTCTTTTTTTGTGGTTTGAATCGAATATTACTGATCAAATTTTCATTTGGATGTTCCTTAGCAGTGGTTATTTTTCTAGGAGAGAGAGCTGGGCTTGCAAAACTGCAAATCAGGCAATCTATGTTCATATCTTGATGATTGGCAAATCACTTACTCATTTGGTAGAGTAACTCAGACTCATGAAATCAATAATTTTGCTATTCATTTATGCTGTATGCTTTCTTTTTCTCCCTTTAGAAAATTCCATGAAGCGGCATCCATTTCATTGAGATAAAATAAAAGCACATCTCTAGCAAAGGTCTTTGTTTGTTTACCTTATGTTTCTATATTCTTATATGAAGAATGCTCAAGGCTTACCTTCTCCATCAGTGTGAGGTCAGTGTGTCCTTATATTAATGTCAGTGACAAGGGCTTTCTGCAAATCATTGTCAAACATGATTCTGTGGTTACAGCGTGAGTGAACTTAATTTTTGTATTTGTGAATTAAAGACTGGCACTTCTTATGTGAAAATAAAGTGTTAGCTTGTTCTGGAAGTCACCACCAAAAAAGAACTGAGTTAAAATAGGTAATTCCTGTGTAAAAGTAATGAAAGCATTTCCATAATGAATGTCAGGTCAAGGTGTTAATGCTGTATCAGTATCAATCACAACTTCAGATTACTAGAGGCTCTAAACACTTGCCCCTTAGATGTGTCCCAAATATCTAGTTCCCTTCATTTTCCAATGAAAATTTCAAATTTTAAGACCAATATTTGTTCTTCTCACAAATCTATAGGTACTAACTCCATAATTTGGAGAACAGTAATGACAGTGCCAAATATTTAGATTTTAATTTGATTTTGCCTGAGTGTGACAAAAACCCATTTGTTCCTAATGTTTAAGTAAGCCAGAGAAAATGCTCTGAAATTGCTTTTTAGCAATTTTGAGGCCAAAGGACATGAACACTGAAAGGTTTTGCTGTTTTATTGTTAACTATGGAAATACACCCTGGAAGGATTCTGTTCCAGTGTGCATTTTACTATATGTGAAACAAATGACTTGCAACATGTTATTATATGATGCCTTGAGTATTTTCATTTTAATGAAGATGAGTTCTCCAAATCAGATTGTTCTCCAAAAATGAAACTCCACTTTCTTACAATTTATTTTCTGACAAAAAGATACAGAAACTGAGCAAGATGCTGATTCTGAACTTTAATCATTTAAGTTTGTGAAGAATTGAAAACAAGAATCAATTTCAGTGCATTTTCTCTGGCTTACTTAAACATTAGGGACAAACTTGGGTTTTTGTCACACTCAGGCAAAATCAAATTAAAATCTAAATATTTAGCACTGTCATTACTGTTCTCCAAATTATGGAGTTAGTATCTGTAGATTTGTGAGAAGAACAAATATCAGTCTTAAAATTTGAAATTTTCATTGGAAAATGAAGGGAACTAGATATTTGGAATTTTTCCTTATTTTTAGTATGGCCTCAGAGTTTAATTTGGTTATAGAGCACATTTCAGAAAAAGTTTAGAGTATGGGACAAATTGAACATACAAAACACACAAAGTGAGAAAACAAGGATGAATGTCTATGAGATGCCTAATGTTCTGAGGACTGGGTAGTGTGTTAAAGGTTGAAATTTCATCTAGAAATTTCTCTAATACTTCTTATTACTGTATAATTGTCCAAAACTACTTATAGTTTTAATGGCTTCTGTTGTTGTTTCTTTGGGGAGAATCTTTTATCCTTTTTAAAAAAAGTAATAGACAAAGTAGTTGCTTTGAACAGATCAATCCAAGAAATATCCTGACAGTGCACCAAACAAGATCTGTGTGGATAATGTGAGTTCTTTCTTTTTAATTTTAGAATCAACCTTGTCCTATGTTAGGCAGCTGGAGGCAAGAGTAAGACAGCTGGAAGAAGAAAATCGCATGCTGCCCCAGGTGGGTGACTTCCAGAAGCTCATAGCTAGTCAGTGTCATTTGAGTTGTAGCTGTTTATTTAAAATTTAAAGTCTCAATTACATGTTCTCCTTAAATGCTAGAAATCATTTTGTAAACAGCCATTCATCTTGTAGAGTGTGATTATGTTCCATAATGGCCATCATATGATCCAAATTTCTAAGTAGTATGCTAAAATTTATTGATGTCTGACGTAAAAATGTGAACTAATTTTAAGAGGAAAAAAAAATAAAGATAAATAGAAGATAAAGATACTTTGATGGTACTACTCATATGCATTATGTCTATAGTTTGTAGGTAATAAGGAAAGGACTCACTCAAATCCAAACTTTACTAATGTATAAGCTAAGTAAAGTGATATTTTAAAGGTTTCATATTTTAATTAAATTAGTACTTTCTAAAATTTTTTGTTATATAATCGAACTCATCTTGTACAACAAAGCAATGACAGTAATTAACAGTTTTTACTGGGGGACCCCATTTCTTTTTTTCTAATGAATGTAAAGTACTTTTTGTGGAATATTTAATGTCTTGTCATGTATTTCACTAACAATTATTTCTGTGAGCTTATTTGCAAGAATGATGTTAATCTTTTGAGGTGGTGGCTTTCATAAGGTAATTTGTTGAGAAATTGCAGTAATCTACTGATTCTAGTTTAGTTAGTTTGCATTACAGGCATGAAGACAGCAGTACAATTTAAGATTTTGTAAGATGGAGTTTTCTAAGCAATTAATCACTAGCATTCTTTCTGTGTTCTTTTGTAAGTGACTAAAGGAAAAATCACTGCTCAAATAACTAGTAAACAATAGTTTAAATAGAAAGACAAATGCATTATATTTCAAGAGAAGAAGTTTAAATATTTCTTCAGAGATTCTTTGGAAAGACATTTTAATTCCTTTTAGTCTTATTTTTAAGATCTTTTTGCTCACTAATGATGATTTAGGATATCATGTTCTACAGGGAAAAATGCCATTTTCTCTCTTCAGTTGGCCAAATAAAAATCATGGGATTAATGGATCCACTTCTCTTCCTTCTCACACTGTATGAATGTATGTTAAAACTTATAATGACAAAAGAGATTATTTGTGTCATGAAATAAAATATTACTTGTAGAGGGTTTTTTTCCCCCCATTTTGGCCTTTGTATTATATTCAGAATCTGACTATTGTAGGGCTCTTGGTTGAAAACATCCAACTTCTTTCCAGTTTCAAAAATAAAAAATATGGGTTATTATACATGTTTACACCATTTTTTTCAGGTAATTGAGAATGTAAAAGATAAAAAATGGAAAAAGTAATAAATAATTTTCAATCTCCCTTGAATGGGAACTGAAGCTCACACCTAACCCTAAAATACTAGCATAAATGCCATCTTATTTAAAAAGAGGTACAATAGGGCCAGGGATTTAGCTCGGTGACACCATGCCTGCCTCCCAAGCTCAAGTTCCTGAGTTCGATCCCCAGTACAAAAAAAAAAGAGGTACAACAAATGTGGAAATAATTACAAGACTGATTTTTTAAAATCCATAAAAGTTAGTGTTAGAATTGTTGAAGGAAAATCAGAAGAGGCCTCCACTGTACTTGATATATGTGTATATTGAAATACATTGTCCTTGGATAGTTGAGACTAGGAGAGATTAAACAACTTCTCCAGTTAAGATATTCAGCATATGCTTTTAAATGTGTTGTTGTTTTGCTGTCAAGAAAGTTATCTTTCCTTTGTGTTTTTTCCTCTGAGAAATGGCTAGGAAAAATTGAATATAAGATGCTATTTGTGTGTGGGATATGCCATTATTGTTTTTTTCTTTTGGTACCGGGAATTGAACTTGGGTCCTTGTGCTTGCGCAGCAGGTGGCAAAACGGAATATGCTATTATTTTATGTATCATTGCAAAAGAAAAAAGATGTTGTCAATTATACCATGTCAGATTTTTGCTGATTTTGGAGAAAACAATGTTTTAGATATAAATACATTAGTACTTTAATGGAAAGAATATCCATTATTCGAAATACAATAGGTCTCAGTTCAAAAACAGTATTTTTGTTAAATTTTATGTCAGAGATTATTGTCTTGATTTAGAGCTAAAATAGATGTGGTAGAACTATTATTTGTAACTTCTGTAAGTACAAACTCTCATGAGCACAGATGGTAGATGAGGCCCAGGATTCAACAAAATAAGAGTCTCAGATCAGTGAAAATCATGTGGAGGGAATCCTCACTGAAGGTTGAGATTTGGTCTGGGTTGAGAACACAAAGGCATATACAATTTATTCTTAAATGTTGTTGGCATTATTAAAGATATGTCTGATGAGATTTCCTTGCAGAAATTGTTTCTGACTGCATGATGTTAGCTGATTTGCAAGGTCAATTCAAAGCAAAATGCTGACATTCCTGCATAAATTAGTCTCAATAATTGAACACTTGAGTTTTAATTATAAGACCTTGCCACTCTGCCTTGATTAGAAGACAGTTCTTTTAATACCCAAGATTATAAAAGTGTGTCCATTTGTCTCTGGATAAACAGGAATAAGAATAAGAATCCCAAGTTTGTCAAATATCTTTTATAGCTGTGGCCAGATCCCTTACTGAGAATTTAGTTTAGGCTTCTTAGGTAAAGCATTGACCTGCAGGAAGAAATCTCATTTTTAATGCTTATTTTTATTCTTCATATAAAATTGTGTGTAATGGAAAATCATGACTTTGCCCTAGCAATATACATATGTGGACAACAAGGTCATAATTTCACCTAACATGATGTAACTATTCTGTGTAAAATGGAATATGCACTAATCCCTCTTTCATAATCTCAGTAGTTCCAGCATGATTTAAAAGTCTAAGTTAAAGTTTTTTCTGAGTGTCAAGGTAAACTTTTACCTGTGAACTTCTGTAAAAATAATAAGTAAATTATCTAATCTCATGGAAGAGTGACATAAGTTGAACTTTCCCACTCCAAAAGGGAAGAATAGGGTACAGAAAAAAAAGTAGACCAAAGCAAGATCAAAACTTAGCAGGGTAAACATTAACTCTTGAAACCCCATGTCTGTCATCTGGTGCACATGGTGATAAAATGTGAGTTTCAGTGTTTGGGTAGCACTATTCCTATGATTTTTCTGGTCAAAACTCGCATTGCCTCTCTCTAAGGGCGGCACTGTTCATATACTAAAATTTTCCTCTGTAGATGCTACATGTTTCTGACATCTCTGACTTCCTAGGTCTCCACTGAAGCTTCAGCTTCATTCTCACATCTTCATGCAATGCCCTCTCTGGGACTCCTTGCCTGAGCTCCCAAGCCTTCCTTTCAAATCTGTCTGGAAGCCTCCCTGACCTTACAACTAATGTATTCATCATGCCTGGAAAACCAGCATCAGATGGATTATAAGTTCTGATGTCAGTAGAAGCAGTAGCCAGGTCCTCTTGGACTGTGGCTGCAGTGGCCTCTGAGTTCCTGGGTGATGGAGCAGAGTAAAATGAATCTCAGTAGCCAATTCCCTATGTAGCCCTTTTTGAGCAGCAGGTCCCAGGGACACTCTTCTCAAATGAAAAGTTTACAGTTTGTACCCTTGAGGCTGTGATGGGTGGCATCTTGTTAATTCCTGAGTTGCCCTCAAGACATGTTTCTTTTTATTCCAATACAAAGTACTTTTTAATTGGTGCTAATCTCTTCAGTAGCCATGCCTCCTTTGGCCCCAACTTTATATATAGTTCCTTTTGAGATGAAATTTAAGTGTTTCAAATTTTTCCCCTCTGCTTTTTGCCCTTGGTGCTCACTTTAAATCTAAAAGCAGTCAGCAGTACCTATGCTACAGCCTGAATGTTGGGTTGCCTTGAAATTTCTTCTGAGAGGTCAATAAGTCCATTGCCCTCAAACAGCCTCCTGCAAAGAATTTGTTACCAGAGTATGACATGCATGGCAGTGAGTCCACTTTCCAAATGAAACCTCAGTAACCAGTCTTTTATTGTGTGCATTCTTGTCAGCATTCTGGTCCTCTGAGCTCCAACCAGAATCACCCATCAGCCTCTCCTTAGAGCACTCTAGACTTTTTCCAACCTGATTCTCTATAATTTTCTAAACTCCCATAAACCAATTCCAAAGACTTCTGAATCACATAGTCACAGCAACAACCCCACTCTTGGTACCAGTTTTCTGTAAGTCTGCTTTCTCATTGCTGGGTTACAGTACCTAACATACATAAGTTAAAGGAGGACTTGTTTAATCTGGCTCATGTTTTCAGAGGAATAGTCCATGTGTGGCTGGCTCCAAGGAAGTAAATAATATCCTGGTGGAAGTACGTGGTGGAGCAAAACTTCATGGTGGTCAGAAACCAGGAGAGCAGCACAAGAGAGGAAGGAGGGGTAGGGGGCAGACATAGTACCCAGTGTCACACATCTATGACCCACCTAGACACACACAGAAATATGCTTTACTATTCTCCTGGGTGGTTCCAATGCCAATTAAGTTGACAGTTAAGCATAACTGTCACATCTCTCACAGCATTTCATACCATTAATATAATTCAGAGTATGTCACCAAATACATGTTCCTCTTATTGCCAAATTTATTTTTTTAAACACCTGCCTTTAAAACTAACATTAGTACTGCTTAGGTATGTAAAATTATATTAGGTATTCATTCCTGCCTTAAGGAAAATGTTCTATTTTACTTAAAGCAATAGTATCCATCACAATTGAAAAAAAGTACATTTTACAGGCTTCTTTTCTCCTGGATCTATTTCCAGATCATTTCAGAATCATAAAATTTTATTATATATTCAGAAATATTCGTATCTGTAGGGGAAATTCATGAGTGACAAAAAGTGGTCAGAGAGGCCTTTCAGAGTGAGCTAGAGGTAGGTAGGGGGCAGGTAGTTACACAGGTGCTTTTCAAATTGAATTTTGAAAATTGAAATATGTTTGTTTATCCTAAAGTTAAAACCTTATTTAGATCTTTTTGTTCATTCCATTGTCTTTTTCTTAGTAGTCACA